ACACACATATATATATACACATTTAATATAAATATAAATATACATATACATATACTATTTGTTATGTATATATATATATATATATATATGTGTGTGTGTGAAAATATGTGTGCGTATATGTATATATATTTATATATATATATAAATATATCTATATGTATGTTATACATACATACATACATACATACATACACAATATATATGGATACTCAAGTATACATGTAATTGGATACGTTCGAACGCTCTCTGACGTATACTCACATTTCTTCTCTCGCTATTGAACACGGTTTCACCAGTCACCACCATCACAAACAAGAAAGGGTTTAGAACAAAAAGAAAATAACCAGATTTCACAACAATCCCATACAATATGTGTGTTGAACGGGACGTTTTGTACTCTAGATTGATTGTGCCGCCGGTAATTGCAAATCACACCTTTCATCGTCGTCGAACAGATCTCTGTCGGTTGATGGTGCTTCGTTTGATGAGGCGTGGCCCGCTGAGCTCATAGTCGGGACAGGTCCAGCGTGTATCTGGTACAGGGGCGGTGTGCTGGGTGCGTTGTTAGAGTGGTAAGTTGCTCTCGGTTTCCTTGGTCCCTGAGTTTCAACTCTGTGGCGGGAGGTGGATAGAAGATAAGAAAGGTGAGGCCCTATTATCTTGTTTGACCTTGTAAGGGAGGGGGGAGAGAAATGTACTTCAGTAGATATCTAAGTATACTTTTGTATGTTGAACACGAAACACGTTCGATCGTTGGACATCGTCATGGTATTGAGATGACGGTAGTCTTTAACATACCATGCTACCTAATGAACAGACAAAAGCATATTCTCACAAACCCAGAAGTTTGTTTGTAATCGACTTACATTATACACTACCAATTTTTTATGATTATCATATATTCGGTAGACACACCTCGTTTTCAGATCATCGATAGCGGGCGCTAAGATAGATGCCGCCGCTTCATGGAACTCCAACTGCCCCTTTAGGTACGACAGCAGCTGACCGCAGTGCTCTTGCTATGTAACAGAAGAATGTGTTGAGATGTGATGACATTCTTCGAGGGAGATGGAGATGAAAGTGAAACGCAAGTGGTCGCAGTGCTCATTGAGTTTGAAATATTAGTATGATTGTATTTGGACATATGGTCCGAAACGGTATACAGAACAAATATGCGGCTGATCGCAGTGCTTTGCTATGACGTATAATAGCATTGCAAGACTTTTTTGATAGTGAGAGCGGATGGGAGTAGCATTTAAAGCATTCAAATTGAAGAGTTTCAATGTATCGTTTACGATTTAAACTGCGCGTCAACGCGGTAGACCGCAATGCCTTATAAGAGTCTTGTAAACGTATTGCCTGAAAGCTATACAGAGTGCCAACTCATGTTTCAGTTTATACATGCCGACGGAGTTTACTGTTTCAGATTTTATTGTAGTTGAGAAGTGTTGTTAGAATGCAAGGAAACCAGTGACAAGAGCAATCGCTGTACTCACAAAATCTGCATGGTTTTCGGCGTGTATATCTTCAAATGTATAGTGCACATGCAGCATAAAATAAATAAGTACATGGCCGTGTACACTAATAGATGCGTCATGCCTGTCAGCCTCACATCAAACAATTCAATAGCAGACTGTACCTCGAAGTCCTGTAGGTCCACCATGGCTTTGTAGCACACCTCTTTAGCTTCCTCGAATCTTATTTGCGCCTCCAGGAAGTCCTCCTGCGGCAGAAACATCGAAGGATCAAAACACTGAATTGATTCACAAAAATATACACGCGGTCACATAGGAGTGCATGCTGATGTTCACCTGAGTCCAATCGATGTATATGAGTGTATGTAACCAAGAACTTGGGGTAGTTCATCCACAGACCCAAATACACCGTTGTCAACATAGCACGTGGTGAGATACAGGGGCAGCAAAAAAGGAAAGTCCTCAGAACACATTGCAGATACAAATTTACAATATTCATCACATCCGAACACTTGTCGGCAAATCAACAACCTTCACGCTGATTGACAAGTAAATGATGCGACACTGGGAGCACCTTGAGAGTCCTGGGACATTAGACTGGGCTATATGAATCGCCGTACTCACCGATATCATATTGTTACCGCAGAGGCACAGTTTGCACTGTCACGATACCTAAAACAATCTGAGAATTACTCTCAGACCGGAGTGGGCCAATGGAGGTCCACCATTGACCCTCTCTGTACAAGCCATCCATATTCAAGTATGCCAATAGACGTGGAAGAAAAAAAGGTTGTACACATGTACAGATAGAGATAGAAACCTCCACATGGATATGTATTCGTTCTCATACCTTTGCTTTGGGCGTGGTGTCCTTGTATCTACCTTTCGCATCGTACTCCAATCTGCGGGTCTCGACTCGTTTCCTCATCGTCTGGGGTGTGGTTATTTAACAAAGATTAGTATTGATTCATTGAACTATATAGTATCTCCACTTGTGTATTCACACTTAAATTGATACCTCCACATCCCGCTCACTGAAACCCTTGTTTGAGGTTGAAAAATCACAAAATCTCGTAAGAACACAATGAAAAATTGATACAGCCTCTATTCAATCATCGAATCCATCTATCAAGCACTGCTTCGCTACTACCTGGAAAGTTTAAAACAGCCCTAAAAATATATGACGAGATGCATACACATATATGGTTCCTAAACAGATAATATACCGAAAGTGTTCACGACAATTAGTTCAAAACATATATATAGTACTCATATTAAACGCAGCGGTGAACATTGACTACAGTCTGTGACATACCTTCACTTCCTTAATATTTGTCGACCGGAAATTTGACAGCGGACCGATGAAGGATTCTTGGGCATCTGAATCCTGTAATGTGATTCAGGGTTTCGTACCGCAATAGAATTTATCAGATAAACCGGTACAAGAAATATTCAATACGCAGGGAATGAAATGATAGGTACAGACAGTACACGGTATGCACCCAAGCACTTGTCAAAACATGAAGAATAGTAGAACTGTTTGAACGCAGTAGCATTATAAGACCGATAGCCAATAATTCATGATTGTTGCGTACGGTTTCCTATTGACCGCCATTGACAGAAACCTAAGCTCACATACTGGCCCATTTAAGCATACATTGGTATGTATATAACTCTCCAATGTATGCCATGTGTATAGGCGCCAGAATTTCCGCATATCATACATCAAGTGATTTTCAACAGCTATGCTGTAGACTAGGTACCAACTCGCCGAGACTTGAAACCCTCACGGTGACAATCGATACCTAGTGCATATAACTCGATCTCGAGTATGCAGCCCTTTGACACCTTGTCATTGTACTTAGATTCCGCTATGTGAGCTTGATAACCCACTTACGCACAGTTGCTTCAGACTTACTAGTTGTGAACGGCACTGGGCGATCTGTGTAGTGGCCGCCCCCGCGACACGCAGTGCGGTAGCTGCGCATATGGTGGAAAGGGAATCAGGAATGCAAAAAACCGTGCCGAAATCGTGAAGCAATGCGCTCTCTATTATAATCCTATGGAACACACATAGGCCAATTGGCTCCTGCTATGACTGCTGTGCCAAAAAGTGATGGGCGATGAAGGTGTGTACTCAGACATGTCTGATACTGGGTAGATTTGGTTGTGCACGCGCAGGACGACAACATATAGTATTGTATAATACGAACATTGTGTGATAATTTACTGTGGTATTGGTGTTATAGTTCATGTTGGAAAGTATGAGAAAATTACAAGGTACACAGTTGGTGCCGATATGTATTTGTATTGGAAAGACAAATGCTATAAGAGTATTAATCAGGTATGTCATTTAAGGTAACAATACAGTGATTACAGCAGAGTATTTGTTCATTCGTTTTTGGCTGTCAACGAAGAAGACAAAAAGACAAAAACAAATATATACAGACACAGGCACGCATACAGACACAGAC